TACGTTATTTAACAATGTACTGTTGAAAACTGAATTCAAACCTTGGGGTTTCTCAGCAGCCGTTAACTGTACATTTGCACTAACTCTGGGTGTTGCGCTTCTTGTAAGATTGCGCTTTGTGCTTCAGTTTGTTACCTTTGTAGACTTATTTAATGAAACCATTCAAATAAACCAAACTTGCTTTTGTTGAGCTGTGGGGTATCATTTCTAGCCAAGGATGCCTTGTGTTCTCCAGGGCCCTATTTTGAATTTTGTACAAATTATAACTGGATTTGTTTTTCCTTGGGAATTTTTAGCAGCAGTTTTATCCTAAACTAAAATAAAGCCATTAACAATGAAAGTGAAAGCTTGGTGGCATATAGCAAACTACTGTCAGTCAACACTTCTGTAAGCGTTTGAGTTAGGTCTCAGCTGCCCAGAGATAGGTCTGTCCCTGATCCAATATTAGATACTTCCCACCAAACATGATGGTCTGTGCTTGATTCCTAGGACCCACAGGATGTGACAAGAGCACCAATTCCTTCATACACAATAAATATAAATGTAATAAAAGAATTTTTTTTCTTTTTAAGGATTAGTCACAGCAAAATCCCAAATTCAGCTTAAGTAAAATTGCAAATTCATTGTTCATTTGGGCAAAGAATCAAAACTGCTGGGGGTGGTACAGTTAAGAGTAGTTGTTTCCTTTAAAAAACTATTCCTGTAGCTAGAAAGTTTTCTATCCGTGTCCCGCCAAGCCCCGGCAGACAGCCCACTTATAAATAAACACACAGATGCTTATATTATTTAAACTGTTTGGCCTAATGGCTCAGGCTTCTTGTTAAACTGTTCTTATATCTTAAATTAACCCATTTCTATTCATCTATACTTGGCCACGTGGCTTGTGGCTTGCCAGTACCTTACATCTTCCTTGTCATGGTGGCTGCTGGCAGTGTCTCTCCAACTCAGCCTTCCACTCCCCAGAATTCTCTTCTCTGCTTGTCCCACCTATACTTCCTGCCTAGCTACTGGTCAATCAGCATTTTATGTATACAAAGCAATATCCACAGCACTTCCTCCTTTTTTTTTTTATTTTTCAAAAAGGAAGGTTTTAACTTTCACATAGTAAAATTACAGATAACAAAACAATTATCAAGCAAAAATTACAGTTACATTGTCTAGTCTGTTTATAATATCTAGTCTATTTGTATTTGGCAAAATTAAAGAAGATATCCTATCCTATAATTGTGAGTCTAAGGTTTTATATCTAACTTATCTTTTATCATAACTAAGGAAAATTGTAACTATCTAGCTTCAACTACATCAAAGACCTCAGAAGGATATACTATTACCTGAGAAATGGGACAAGGACGCAAGCAACTATTGGGAGTCTTGCAAGAGTAGACAGAGACAGCTGGCAGCCTAGACAGTCACCTAATGTTCCTTTGTAAAGTTGGGGCATCTGTCTTCAGCCAACAGGCCTAGAGTCTCCCAGTCATTTTTCTCTGTCCTGTAGAATGTCTGGCAGTTTCCTCTGTGGAACAGGAACCCAAAGTACCATTTTGCCAAGCAAAGTTCAGTGATCACCTTCCTATGGGTCTTACATGTCCAGTCAATACATACATTTTTTTCAAACAGTCCAGGCAAGAACAGTTTCTTGCCCAAATGGCTATTTTTGTCAAGAAGAAGATAAACTCCATACGGAGTGTCTTCAATGCCCATCCTCTCTGAAGTAAATCAATGCTACCAGGAGCAGACATGTCTCATTGTCCAGAAAGTCTAAATTTTTAAAACATTTTAAATGCCATATTCTGTAGGTCTTTGAAGTGTTTGAAGATTACCTACCTAATTGAATTATATCTTGCATACCTAGAAAACAACATGACTATAAGTTTGACTATCATAGAAGACTAATTATTAATCTGTATTTCCCAATTATCCATTACAATATAAATGAATTACATAAACATAATACCTCAAACAAGAATAGAAATATATATATAGTTTAACAAAATTAACCTAAATTTGTATCAATAAACTAAAATCTATACCAGTATAAAACAATTCAAACAAGTTGTTGCTCTTTAAAAGTAGGTTCGTTAATCTATCCTTTCATCGTATCATATCTATATCATACCCCCCTTTTTTTCTTTAGAAAGAGATTGCATTCATAATCAACCTGTTTTAAATAAAAATATTGGTTTTTCTCTGTCCCACACCAGAGAGCTCTTCTGATTTGGGACACAAGATTCTCTGCCACGAACTGGCCTACCAGGAGTACCACGACCATAGGAGAATCAGGGCTTGGGTAGTCAGGAAGGCAAGGATTCGGCGAATGACAGACAGACAACACACTCAGAAGTGGTTTGAATCTGCTGCAATTTTACTTCTACAAATCAGTAGTTTATATACAGAAAAGGAAACTATCAAGTCATACAAGGAACAACAAGAGCTTGGCAATAATTCAATTACATCATCTTTAAAAAACAGTAAACACACAATTATTAATCGGCACTAGACATATCCCTTCACCCGTAAGAACTTTATGACCCAAAGAGCAGTCTGTATTTTTTAAACAGTACAGTCCCTAGACTTGTGTAGACTTCTTGTGGTTGCAGCTGTGTCCCTTATCTTATCTCAGCAGCTTTCTAGTTTATTATACACTCCTACTTTTCTGGTTCTCATGACCACTTAGCCAATTTGGATGCTGCAGACCCTCTCTAAGTTTTTCTTTAGTTCTCCACCACATATCTCTTTTAATATAAAACCTTTTTACCTGCTGGAATATGGACTCTTGTACTTTTACACCTGTAAGGGGAAGGAGTTCTGCTGTAGTCTTTAAGTTTTCCATGCTGAAATTCCTCAACAGAGGGGCCCATCATCTGTCTCCTATGGGATAACGTTTTTTTTACCATAAATCACTTTAGTTGGGATTCTTAAAGGATTCCTAGTGGATGAGTGTTCTTTCCCTAGAAGTGCCTGAAGTATTATACTTTCTTTATCTAGTGGCTTGGGGTCTTTAAGAAATAGCTCATTCTGCTATATCTGATTAAGATCCATGTCCAGCTTCCCCTTTCCCTCCATAGTTCACAACCCAAGTATTCGTTAATTTTGGCTGTGCTTCATAGCTTAATTAGAACATTATCAGAAAAGCAGTTATACAGAACCCATAGCCCAGGGAGTTCATGATCTGTGAAATACATCTTTGAGAAGGAAGCATAACCCGGGCACTCTGCCAGGAACCTCCAGGGAGCTTAGTCCCGTGGGACACGTATCTCCCGTCCGCTATTATAGACATAATTGTTCATGTCACATGGATGACACTGGAGTTGGTGTGGCAAATCTCTTAACCTTTCCTTTCAGCAATGTGCCTGGGTTTAGAGAAGGAGTGAGCCAATTCCATCTCCAAAGCCAGCTTGGTATATTTGGGAATTTGGGCATAGCTTCTCTTACTACTTCGTGCTGGAGGGGGGCGCAGTATCTTTTCTCTCTCTCTTCCAAGCCTACATACATTTTTACCCACATTGTAAAACGTTTAAAGTCTTGTTCCATCTCAATCTGTCTTATTGTGAACCTATTGTTTTAAACTGCAGGTAAGGCCGCTGTGGCTGCTGGCGCCGCCCACCTCAGCTTCCCAACATGGCGGTGGTACAGTTTACCGCCAGCTCTGGGTCTGGAGCCATGTGTACCATCAACTATCAGAAGCAGCTCTATCAAAGCAGCATGTAGCCCAGAAACAGCTTTTCTTTTTTTCTTTTGTACTGGTAAAGGCTAAATCCACTAGACAGCGTTATGTGCCACTTGTTATGTGCCTCATTCCCGCCACACCGCTGGTCAAACGTGCACGCCAGGAACCTGCCATAGTAGCTCAAACCGGCAGACTGCCGCTAATTTGAGAGACAACTAGGAAGCTGTTTTTAGCTCCGTTTCAGAATCTTTTTTTGTCAGGTTTTAGATGGAAACTCTTGCTCCACGTTGGGCGCCATTTGTAGCTAGAGAGTTTTCTCTCCAGGCCCGCCAAGCCCCGGCAGTTGGACAGCCCATTTGTAAAATAAACACAAACGCTCATATTACTTAAACTGTTTGGCCTAATGGCTCAGGCTTCTTGTTAACTGTTCTTATATCTTAAATTAACCCATTTCTATTCATCTATACTTTGCCACATGGCTTGTGGCTTACCGGTACCATACATCTTCCTTTTCATGGCGGCGGCTGACAGCGCCTCCTGACTCAGCCTTCCACTTCCCAGAATTCTCTTCTCTGCTTGTCCCGCCTATACTTCCTGCCTGGCTACTGGCCAATCAGGGTTTATAAAGCCATATCCACAGCATATTCCTGGGGCTGGAGAGAGGACTCAGCAGTTAAGAGTGTACTACTTCTGCAAAGGACCCAAGTTCAATTCCCAGCACCCACATGGCGGCCCACAACCATCAGTAATACCAGTTCCAGGGAATGTAACACCCTCTTCTACTCTCCGTGGATACTACAAATACATGTGCATGTACATACATGCATGGAAAACACAAAGTAAAATGAACAAAACACCTATTCCTTAGATCATCCTTTCATTGCTTGGGGAAAAAATACTGGTCTTCAGACCTGGATTATGATGCCATAATCTTTCTTTAAATGAGAAATTATGCAGTGGCTCCTCCCACAACCCATGTTTTCATGCAAAGATTTCAGCCAGAAGAAAACAATCATTTAAAATTATGCACTGTTTCATGTAGTGTAATAATCCCACCGTAGATGTAAGTTTTGCCTTTGCCAAGTACAGCCATGAATGTAAAGTTCCACAGGTCTGTCAGTATTAATGTTCAAACGTTAATTTACTTGATGGCTCGAAATGCACTAATGGGAGGGTGGGGGAGGTGGCAGCACATGCCTTAATCCCAGCACTGGTGGATCTCTGTTGAGTTTGAGGCCAGCCTGGTCTACAAAGTGAGTTCCAGGACAGCCAGGGCTGTTACACATTGAAACCCCCCACCCTGCCAAATACCCTTGCCAAAAAAGGCTACAACTTTTGAGATGTAGTCTTTATTAAAATTTAATCATGTAAAGTTGAAAAGAATTCACGCTGGCCTCCCTGCTGCATACAAACTACATACAACCACAGGACATGGTAAGTGCCGAGAATGGAGAAGACCTAAATCCGACACTTAAGCACCCCCTGTACGTCTTGGCACTTCTCTCTGGATAAAGGGAGGCTTCTGTTGACATGAATGAATCCATGTGTGATCCTGAAACACCGCCATGGCCTTACTGGTTAGCACTTAGTGGAAAACATTAACACCTCAAAGCCAAAGGAAAGATGAGCTCACATATAATTAATTATGTAGGTGACGATGAAGCTGGTGCTTAGATGGGCTCTATCACTAAACAACAGAAGGCAGCCTAAAAACTAAAAATCTCTTAATACAGTAGTTTGGGGGTGAATAGTTCTGAAAAACTTGCAAAGCCAAAGGAAAGGCATCTTATCTGTTGGCCTCCCTCCCATCACAGGGTATGGCATGACGACCTCTTTAAAGTACTCCATTAATACGCTCTAAAGTCCTCTAATGAGTTCAGAATAAAACAAGGTATAAAGCCTTGGGAACAATTTTGTAACCAAACTGCAGTTTTCCAAACTTTCATGACAGATTCCAGCTTCAGGATGGATCAAGTTTCCTTTTCTTCAGGTCCTGGCTCTTCCTATGAGAGTCAGAGTGTCCTGTAAAAGATAAATGGTTAAAATGCAGCAGCCTTGACTCAACAGTAGCTAATCATCACTGGATTGTACTGGCTAACGACCCTCATTCAGACAACACACAGAATGAGTGACCACTGGATATCATTCTTATGACAGATCTCTGGATACAGTCAGGCCTTTGCTTCCTACAAGTGTGCCCAACCAACATTGTGACAAAAAACACGAGAGTCAAAGTTCAGAGCTCAAGAGCCATTCAATCAAGTTACAAAAAAAGAATGTTTTAAGTAAGTCTGTAACTTTGTATTGGACCACATTTGTAGCTATCCCGAGTCTCAGGTTGGACACGCCTCATTCTAGATCTAAAGAGTAGATAAAATCAAGATCTGAAAGCTCAAATACTCTCTTTTGTACTGCTCACTGCCTCAGGATTCCATCTAGCTTTTCCTTTTTCTTTTTTATACAGGATTTTTTTTTTCTTTTGGTTTTTT